CCAAATTTTCTGGGATGGGTAGATTTACTTAGCAATGGGGCTCCGCCCACGCGCGCGCTTCGCGCGCGCGTGGAGCTCCGCTATAAACTTTTTCTAGCTCGACCCTTCTTGTAAAATGCAAGAGAACAATTGTGAGCAGTTTTCCAGCCGTAATAACAACTGCTTCCGACCAAGAGAGGATAAGCTTCCGATACATGACTACAACACCAAGCGATGACCTCTGCTTTAGAAAAGATTTCGGTCGTAGCTGAAAGAGAATCAATGAGTGAGGCAGTTGAAGCTAACATATTCGTCGACGTTGCCTGAAAGGCGTCGTACGGCTAGAAAAAAAACGTTTAACAACCGGGCCCCCTGATGTCAAATGCTATGTCAGTTACAAAGCACAATTTTTAGCAAACAATTATATGAATTGCCGACCACCTGTTCTCTACAAAATATGCTAACGAGCACCATATTCTTTTGAAATATCTTTTTATACAACCATAAAATAAAAGTGCAAAATATTTTAATTAACATCGAGGAAAACGGTAACTCGCTAGGACTTAGTCAAGAGCAATGCGAGTGGCCGTGGTCGCGACAAGATTTCGGTTTTGAAAGAAATTGTCGTCCAAAACTGGGATTTTCATGCTTCCAATCAAACGAAGCGGCATGAAATTCAAGGAAGAATATTCGTTCCTTCCACAAGAGGAAGGGAAAATTACAATTATGAGGGAAATGATTCTTTGAAAGCACTTCAAAAAGCAGCAATGATCTGGAACAAAAATGATTTTAGTATACTTTCTTAGAATCTGTAAGAACTTTTTTCAGTCGAAATTACAAATGATGTAGTCAGGTACCGTTCTTTTTTTGCTTGTCATTTGTAGTTTTTAGGTGTCCCGTAGAACAGCTTCACGCTATACTCCCAGTTGTGAATGGCCTCAGTGTTGAAAGCAGGCTTATGGCAAAATTGGGGAAAAATAATATACATTCAATTTGATATGAAAATCATCTGAAAAGTGTTGACCCAGTACATCACCATTTATCAGACGCCTTATGCGAATAATTTAATCTTCTTGAATCTTAACGGAATTCCCATACAAATCTTCTCATTTGGGTTTTGATGGAATGCCGTTTCGCTTTACAAAAGATTTCGCTCATTGTTGAAAGGGAATTAGTGAGTGAGTCAGTTGAAGCTGACATATTGACCATTGCTTGTTTTCTACAAACGGAACTTCAAAGAAGAAACACAGACTGGGCCTCAAAGTCAAGTGTCTTTGTAAAGGCAAATACGTTGGTCTTTCAATCGAAGCTAAAATCCATTATTTATGACTTTAAGTTATTTCAATGATATCTCTTTCCTGCACCTTAAAAAATTATCTCCTTCGTGCAAACAATCCATTTTCCCGGCGATGTCACCCTCAAAGCACTATTACTTTCAGAAACCGATTAGCAACACCTGCTGTTTCCTACAGAACGCTAATGATTACCATTTCAAGGATTATTAGAAATGTCTGTCACATAACTATTGTGGTGAAGCCTGAATTCCGATAATATTGATATAAAGAAAATAAAAAATTAAACTACTGAAATTAATCGGAAGTTGGTTTCTGGAGAGGTCGGCAAACTGTTATTCAGTGCTGTTAAGAGAGAATTTAACAGTAATAAATTCTCACTGGGTGCCCCCACTCCCAAACACCCCAAGGCTGGAATGAGTTTTGGGAAGAGGCGAATCCGGAGGCGGGAAGGAGCGGGAGCTAAGGCGTCAGAGTGTGCCATCGCTGCGGGGAGGTGGATGGGGGGACAAACTAGGTGTCTGGTGTACGACTTAACGAAGAGAGGTATAAACAGCATGAAACAGCTCAATTTATACTAAACTCACAAATATATGCACAACGAGTTCCTCAGCGAATCCACAGATGCGTTGGATAGAGTGCACGGAATCCACGGGCACAGGGAGCGTTTGTGCGTGACGGCACCCAGTGAGAATACCATGTGACACGAAATGTTTGCGGATTGGCGATTTTTTTGTTTTGAGGGAACTAATTTTTGCGATTTGGACAGATTGGTTTTTCGTGCTGGGAATCAATTTTTGCGATCTTCAGAAAGTACCCAGTACCCAGCATTGATAATACTTTCGTTTTGATTGAGTATGTGCAATAGAAATACACTGATTTTCAAACTATAAACCAGTATTTCGTTGTTGTTGACAAGTTGTGATTTCTTGGTCCTGTATTTTTGTGTAGCGAGTTTAAGTTAGAGAATATTTACTCTGGAGAAAAATTTTGCGGGAAAAATGTTTGCGGTAATTTTTATTTTCAAGAACATATTTTGCGGATCGCTGGAAAAACCGCAAAAATCGCAAAAATTAGAACCCGCAAAAATTTCGTGCCACACGGCAGTCCCCAATACAGTATCCTGCATTGTTTTTCTTTGAGGTGATCGCGTGTGCACTTGATGACATTTCAAACAATGGATTGTAAATGTGCGGACATCTCAGGAGTTAGACTTTCGTTTAATTACAACCTCTAAAAATAACTTTGGGTAAAATTCACATATCTAGGCCAACGCCCTAAGATTTCTTCTCTGTCTAAAATATTCAAATCAAAATCTAACGCTATGTTCACACTCTACCTGATAGCTCTTGCGCATTCGCCATATTCATAACAAGATATATACTTTTCTTAGTTCAAAGCTTCTTGTCAAATGCAAAGAGAACAATTTCGAGCAAATTCCCTTTGAAAATAACCACGGATTGCAAGGAAAAGCAAAACCCCAAGCGATGATTGGCACCTTTGGAAATATTTCCGCCACTGATGAAAGTGACTTTTTGCTAGCTCAGTGATACATTCGCCATAGCTAAGTTTTCCGCATCTCATCCTTCAGTTTTCGGCATCTCATCGTCTCTCATCCTCCATCCCTCCATGCTGTGTGAGAAAGGGTGTCGTGTGACGAGGTGGCTGAACACAGTTAATACGTTTCGGATGGTTACCATTCATTGGGAATGGATGTTATTTAAGGTTCGTTGCAAGTGTAAAGGTCAGATTTGGCACGGACTAAAGACTTGACATTTAAAAAGTAAGATTTCGATCACTGCTATGTGGCAAATCGATGATTGAAACACGCCTTAAAGTTCGGATTTATTAGCTAGGTTTGCGCAAAAATGATCCAACCATTAGATTTCCTTATGTATCTGCACAAAGCTTACAATTACTAAGAAAAAACCCTCATTTTTTAAAAAAAACAATAACTTAACAGTTTTTGAAATTTCTAAGAAAATACCGCAAAATTCCGAAAATAAGCCCCGGGGCTTATATTTTTCAAAGGCCCTTTTTGAGGGGCTTATTTTTGGAGGGGCTTATATTCGGAGGGGCTTATCTACGGAGGGAAATTTACGTTTCAAAATCGATTTGGCTAGCCTTGAGTTGGAAGGAAATTTAACGTTTTGCTTTGTTTTACTTTGTATTTGTGGGCAATTTTCCAAGTACAAGCCGCCGGGGGGCTTATATTTGGAGGGGCGATTTAACGGAGGGTTTCTTGCGTTACCGGTTTGGGGGGCTTATATTTGGAGGGGCTTATTTTCGGAATTTTACGGTAGCTTTCATGAGAAACTTAATTTTGCCGTAAAACGCCTTTGTTCAATATTTAGTTTGAGGCTCTGTCGATTGAAGTGCCATATGAACAGAATTTCTGCCAAATTTCGTCAAATTTTAATGAGTAGATTTAAAGATATTGTCGTTTGTTTAATGACTGCTTATGAAAGACAACACTGAACAAGCGTTCTCACATTGCTTCTTAAGTACGCATGCTCAACACTTCTTCATCATCAACGTTAACGATGCTAATATCCAGCGATCTAGACTCTGCATGAACAAGGTCAAGACCGACCAAGGTACGTGAATAAAAGATCTACCATATGGCCATAAAGATGACTTTTTCTTAAGGGAACTAAGGCGGGAAATCTTGCCCGCTTTGGTAGCCGATCAGAACATAGGATTGGCTTCATTTTTCCCGCTCGCGGATTTAACCATGTAATAAGCGGACCTTAAGATACATAGTTTCTGCCTAGTACGGGTACGGATAGTTCAACATGTTTGACCTACCCATACCCGTACGGGCAATCTACCCGTATTTACGGCGGCTACGCGTACGGGTAATTTACCTGTGCCCGAACACGGAAACGGTGTATCTTAAAGTCTCTTTTTTTGTTAATATATACTGTGTTATCCGCTGGTGGATAAGGTCGGATACCGCTATCCACCTTACTTGAACAGCTGGGGCTAGATCAATTTTTATTAAATTTCACGTATCCTCCAAAGGCAGTTAGCTAAATACCCAGATGCCAGTCGTACGTCAGTTCATATCGAAGAAAAGAAAAATTAGCTACGTTAATAAAAGTAGCTGAACACAGTTTGTTAGGTGATGGGTGGTAACCGATTCATTCGGCTGCTATTTTAGGCTCATTGCAGTTATGAACTTCAAATTGTCACGCACAAAATATATTTATGAAACTTGACATTTGTTACATTTCTTATGGCAACATAGATGATTGAAAGCCAACATTACATTTGAAATTTTAGTATTAGGTTTACGTAAAATCCAGTCATTAGATTTTCTTAGGAATTTGCACCCAGCTTGCCATCAGTAAGTTTTATTTATTTATTTAGTTATTTACTAAGACCAAGCTGTCTCAGACTCCTTTTTCCAATTTTTAATTTGAAGCTTTCTTTGACTCAATGACATTTGAACAAGATTTCTGCAAAAATTCGTCAAATTTGAATGAGTAGTTTGATATATTATCGTTTCTTTACATTGCCTATGAAAATCAACAAAGTTTTCGCTAAGAACGCATGCTCAACACTCGTACAAAAAGTGGAGGGAGGGGAGGGCAAGGCTCACCTAGCCCTGCCCCGTGCAGTTTAGTCTCAGTTTCTCGAACTTCCACCTCTACTGACTCACAATTTGGTAGCTTCCATAACTTCTTGTTTGAAAGTGAGCTTTAAATTATTGTGATCGGCTGCCATATTATTTCTTCTTGTATTACTATTTTCCTGACTTCTAAAATAGAACAAATTTAAACCTTGCCTAAACTCAGGAATTCTTAAAGCGTACACCATTGGATTGATAAAAGAACTGGAAGAATATATAAAATAAGTGAAAAGGAAAATGTTTGAAGATATGTTTTGGCCGAAAAATCTTAAAAAACTAATAATAATTGCGGGGATCCAAGAACTCAAAGTACCAACAGATACTAATGACAGGGCTTTCGTTAAACGCTGGAGTTGCATGTCTCTGTTTTGGTGACAAGAAACAGATTTTTGCTGGATCTTTCTCCAAATAACGATGTTGAGGCCGCAAATAGTCACAATTAGTAACAAGCCGTATAAAGTAGCGAAAGCGTAAAAAGCTCCTAGACTCAAGCGGAAAAGCACTATATAAGCCGTAGAAAATAAGGTAGCCAATGTCCAAGCCATCAAAATAACAAGCTTGTATGCTCGCCTGGAGAGTGTTCGGTGCTTCAGCGGCCAAAAAATGGCGTAAAATCTTTCAGCAGATATCAAAGCAGCGGTAGTGAACGAGGCCATCGAGGAAACCGTAAAAATAATTTTAAGAAATGTTGGAAATGCTGAAAAATATAACCTACTGCGAGTCGCCGTTATTAAATAAACAAATAAAGGGAGACTTGCACCTCCCAACACCAGATCAGCAAACGCCATATTTATAACAAGATATAACCTTTTCTTATTTCGCAGCTTCCTGTTAAATGTGAAGAGAACAATTGTAAGCAAGTTTCCCAGGACAATAACTACAGCTTCTGACGCAAGAGCACAGCTCCAAACGATGACTTGTGCCTCAGAAAGCAATTCGTCCATAACCATGGCTGAAAAGGAATTATTGAGTGACGAAGTTAAAGCTGATATATTCTTCGTTATTGTTCCTGCCATTGCTTTAATTTCTAGAAACGTTACTTTGAAGGTGTACGAGAAACAGCAGAGACGTTTATCTACAACTGCCGGGCCACAAAACTAAGCATTGTTCAGTTAGTCTTATAAATGTAATTGGGTTTGTTTTTCAGTCGAAACTAAAATTCATTATTGTTGACTGAGATTACACAACTGATTGATACTTTTTACCATCTGTTTGCCATATAAGTAATGTCACCACCCGGGGGGATTCTTCCAAATTGGGGCTAGATAGGTATGTGCCGCCCGATATGGTCTCCATCCTTAAATAGGGTATCATTTTTGCCCTTGTTGGCGTTGTGTTCCCTTGTGTGATCCTTAGATAAGGTAACGTTATTGTATCAGCTGAAATTCACGTGCAGAAATTACATTTATAGACCAAATAAAACAAAGTCCCAAAGATGAGAAAATTGGTAAAAAAATGCTAACCCTGTCTATGGTCAAAAACAGAGCTAAGTTGCACCACGAGAAGCCGTGCAAAGAGAAATGCAAAGAGAACAATTTTCGAGCAAAATCCCCATGAAAATAACAACGGCTTGCAACAAAAAAGCAAAAACCCAAGTGATGATTTGCGCCTTTGGAAATATTTCCGCCACAGATGAAAATGACTTTGTGCTAGCTCAGTGATACATTCGCCATTGAATAGCTAAGTTTTCTGCAAACGTCTCCCATCCTTCATCCCTCCATGCTGTGTGAAAAACGGTGTAGTTTGACGACGTGGCTGAACACAGTTTAGTACGTTTCGGATCGTTACCATTCATTGGGGGTGAATGTTATTTAAGACTCGTTGCAAGTGTAAAGCCCAGATTTGGCTAAGACAAAAGACATGACATATAAAAAGTAAGAAATCGATCTTTGCTATGCGGCAAATCGATGATTGAAACAAGCCTTAAAGTTTGGATTTATTAGGTTTGCGCAAAAATGATCCAGCCTTTAGATTTCCTTATGTGTTTCCACAAAGCTTACAATTACTAAGTAAAAAACCCTCATTTTTTTTTGAAAAAAAACTTAACAGTTTTTGAAATTTCTAGGAAAATAGCTTTCATGAGAAACTTAATTTTGTGGTGAAACGCCTTTGTTCAAAACTTATTTTGAGGCCTTGTCGACTGAAGTGCGATATAAACAGAATTTCTGCCAAATTTCGTCAAATTTTAATGAGTAGATTTTAAGATATTGTCATTTGTTTAATTACATTGCTTATGAAAGACAACACTGAACAAGCGTTCTCGCATTACTTCCTAAGTACGCATGCTCAAAACTTCTCCAATATGAACGTTAACGACGCCAATATCCAGCAATCCAGACACTACAACAACAGGGTCAAGACCGACCAAGCTAGGTGAATAAAAGATTTACTATATGGCCATAAAGATAACTATTTCTTGCGGCACTAAGGCGGGAAATCTTGCCCGCTCGGGTAGCCAATCAGAACATTCTTGGGTTGCAACACTGCAGTGGTTTTTAGTTTGATTCTTTGATAGCTAAGAAGACTCAAAGATGAAAGTGCTCCATAATGTCATGGATTTGTGGAAATGTATTTGTTTAAAAACCAAGCAAAGGGTTCTTCGTTTTGCGGGAGAGGACGCTTGAATTTCCAGGCTTTTGCGTGACGCGGCATTTAGCTGGCGGCCGGGAAAGCTCTTATGTGGGTCAAAAACATTAGCGATTTTCGGAGATTTTGCAATCTAAACATCCCTTGTCTCAGAATAAATATTACTGTAATCTTTATGAGTTCCTCAAGCGAAGAATTCACGCATTAGTAGGAAATTTCGAAAACAGATGTTTCTGTTGGTATCCGGCGGCTATATTGGTGTTCCTGAAAGGGACACCAACATGGCGTTTCCATACAAAGCTTTATAAATTTAGGTAAACCGTTTTTCCCAATATCTCGCATTTGAAATATTTCACAGACCTGATTCTTGGCAAGGGTTTTGTATATTTATCTTCTTTTATTTCCCAGATTCTAGTCCTTCTGTATTGAATGGTTTGCATTTATATTTTTTATTGCGTGACAGTGCAAGCCGAGAGTAGGATTGGCTTCATTTCCCGCTCGCGGATTCAGCCATGTATTGTTAATACTGTGTTATCCGCTGGTGCCACCAGCTCGGGATAGGTCAGCTGACCGCTATCCACCTTTTTTGAACAGCTTATTATTTATTAAATTTCATGTTATCCTATACAAAGTCAGCTAGCTAAATACCCAAATGCCATACATAAGTCAGTTTAAATCGAAGAAAATAAAAATTGCCGTGGCTGAACACAGTTTGATAGGTGCTGACTGTGGTAACCATTCATTAGGCTGGTATAGTAGGTTCGTTGCAGTTATCAAGTTCATTTAAATTTGTCACGCGTAAAATATACTTATGAGACTACATTTATTAGGTTTCTTATGGCAACAAAGGTGATTGAAAGCAAACATTACATTTTCAATTTCAGAATTAGGTTTGCGTAAAATCCAGTCATTAGATTTCCTTATGAATTTGCATGCAGCTTGCAATCAGTACGTCTTATCTATTTATTTAAAGACAAACAACTTAACCAAATGTAATAATCAGTTTTTAAAATTTTTAAGTGAATAGCATTCATGTACTTGATTGTGTCGACTCAGATTCAGCCTAGTTCCCAGGCGTTCTCTTTTGGCCCCTTGTCTTCGCGAAGTCTTGGAATTCGGTGACGTCACAGCTCACTGTAGATTCCACCTTTGACCGAGCCGAGAGTGCATGGAGACCAGGCTGTCTCAGATTCCTTTTTCCAACTTTTAATTTGATGCTTTCATTGACTAAATGAGATTTGAACAAGATTTCTGCCACATTTTGTCAAATTTGAATGACTACTTTAAGATATTTTCTTTTGTTTACATTGCCTATGAAAATCCACAAAGTTGTCCCCTAAGAACGCATGCTCAACACTCGTACAAAAAGTGGAGGGAGGGGAGGGCAGGGCTCACCTGGCCCCGCCCCGTGCACGGTTAAGTCTCAGTTTCTCGAACTTCCACCACTTTAGTCACAATTTTGTATCTTCCATAACTTCCCGTTTGAAAGAGAGCTTTAAATTATTGTGATCGGCTGCCATATTATTTCTTCCTGTATTACTATTTTCCTGACTTCTAAAACAGAGCAAATTTAAACCTTGCCTAAACTCAGGAATTCTTAATGCGTACATCATTGGATTAATAAAAGATCTGGAAAAAAATATAAAATAAGTGAAAACGAGAGTGTTTGAAGACATGTTTTGACCGAAAATTCTAAACAAATTAACAATAATTGCAGGGATCATAGTACTCAGAGTAACAACAGATACTAACGACAAAGCTTTAGTTAAACGCTGGATTTGCATGTCTCTGTTTTGGTGACAGGGAACAGATTTTTGCTGAATCTTTCTCCAAATGATGATGCTGAGGCCGCAGATAGTCACAATTAGAAATAAGCTGTATAAAGTAGCGAAAGCGAAAAAACCTCGCAGACTCAAGCGGAAAAGCAATATATAAGCCGTAGAAAATAAGATAGGCAATGTCCAAGCCATCAAAATAACAAGCTTGTATGCTCGCGTCGAAAGTGTTCGGTGCTTCAGCGGCCAAAAAATGGCGTAAAATCTTTCAGCAGATATTAAAGCAGCGGTAGTGAACGAGGCCACCGAGGAAACCATAAAAATGATTTTAAGAAAACTTGGAAATTCTGAAAAATATAACCTACTGCGAGTCACCATGAAATAAACAAATAAAGGGAGACTTGCACCTCCCAACACCAGATCAGCAAACGCCATATTTATAACAAAATATAAACTTTTCTTAGCTCGCTGCTTCTTGTTAAATGTGAAGAGGACAATTGTGAGCATGTTTCCCAGGACAGTAACGACAGCCTCCGACGCAAGGGCACAACTCCAAGCGATGACTTGTGCCTCAGAAAGCATTTCGTTGATAACCATGGATGAAAAGGAATTATTGAGCGGCGAAGTCGAAGCTGACAAATTCTTCATTATTCTTCCTGTCTTTGCTAGTAATTTCTTGAAACGTGACTTTGAAGATGTACGAGAAACAGAGGCGTATGTTAACAACCGCCAGGGCACAAAACCAAGGGTTGTTAAGTCTTATAATTGCAATTGCGTTGGTCTTTCAGTCGAAACTAAAATTCATTATTGTTGACTGAGATTACACCATATTGATACTTTTTACCATCTGTGTGCTAAGTAGTGTCACCACCCGGGGGGATTCTTCCAAATTGGGGCTAGATAGGTATGTGCCGCCTGATAGGGGATTGTTTTTAGGGTCTCCATCCTTAAATAGGGTATCTTTTTTGCCCTTGTCGGCGTTGTGTTCCCGGTGTGATCTTTACTAGAAAGGCTAATGTTATTGTATCAGCTAAAATTTAAGTGCGTAAATTACACGAGAAACAAATCATATGTTAAAACGGAACTTTACTTCTGAGTGTTAGGAAAACGATTTAAGGAAGATTTGTGCTTTTCCATTAAATTATTAGTTTGTATTTCCCCTTGAATTGGGTCTCATTTTTCAAGCTTTGGCCTTTAAAAGGAGAACAGTTTCCTTTGTCTCATTCCTAAATCGGGTCAGTGTTTAAGATCCTGGAGGGTACACTGTGTACAAGAAGCGGCCTGGAAAGAAAAGCTTTAGTTCGTGTTCCGTAACAAGGGTTTTGAAAAATGGGATACATGCGGAAAACCACCTGTGAAATGAAAAGGTGGAAACCTGTAGGAAGGAAGTTGTTGATCGGTTGGGTCTTTTTTCTTGAATTTTTCTTGCTTTTTTGTACTTTTTATTACTGTAGATTACTCTTTATTGCCAAGCTGTTCACGTTGTAAAAGCGTGCATTAAACTTTCAAGTGTAGGTAGGAGGAGAAAGGGAGGAAGTAGAGGAGAAATTATGATTAGGATAATGAAGGAGAGCTGATCGTTTTTACCCTCTGAAGACATGAAAAAAATTTTCTTAGGGCCGGTACAACCATTAAAAGTCTTGGAAAAAAACTGCGGTATTAATCTTTTTACCGGATCCGCTTCAAACGAACTCCCCTTATGGGTAAATCTCGAGGGGGGTGGGGGGAGGGGCGTGAAGGCAAGTCTGGGTAGAGTTGTGCTGCCGAGGCCTTCAATTTAAACTATCATCATGGAATTTAATTGTTGGGACCGCACACGTAGACCGCTCATCGCCAACCTTCACACTCTTTCCAAGCGACACCATGTTAAAGGCGCTAAACTGTGAAATTGACTGGAGCCGGTTAGAGCTGGTTAGCCAGATATCCACAACTTGATCAGTGGGACATACCCGTCTAGGCCAAAATAAGCCCTGTAAATGAGGATAGAATGGACAGGTAAAAGGCCCCTTCCTTCTTCCTTCCCACTTAAGTCCCTACGCCCTTCCCCTTCCCCTCCTGGGCACTTCAACACTTGGGTCCTCCCCTCTTGGTACTTTTGTGAGTTGCAATGTGATCACGTCATTGTAATTGACAGATGACTGCAGAAACGGTTTTCCCGCGAATAGCTAAAATATCCATGGTTCGATAATGTTTTTAATATTGACTCATATTTTTTTACAGGGGAAAAGGATAAAAAAAAGTTAATAAAACATGTTTATCCACTATACAGGAAGAAAAAAATTGAAAAATCAAAAAATGACATCGATTTCCAATTTTTGTATTTAAATTGAAAGTTAAATGGACGAATGACCCACGGACCAAGTTTCCCGCCATAATAACAACTGCTTCCGACGCAAGAAAACAACTACAAGCGATGACCCGTGCTTTAGAAAGGATTTCGGTCATAGTTGATAGAGAATCACTGAGTGAGGCAGCTGAAGCTGACATATTGGTCGACGTTGCTTGAAAGGCGAGCGAGAAACAAAAACGTTTAACAACCGGGCTCCCTAATGTCAAATGCTATTGTAGAGGCAGTTGAGTTGGTTTTTCACTCAAAGTTAAAGCTGGAGCTGATTATGTATGTGACCTATGCCTTAGAAAAGATTTTGGTTATGGGGAATTATTGGGTGAGGAACTAAGGTGTAGCTAAGATATTTGCCATTGTTTGTTATTTCTACAAACGTTACATCAAAGAGGAGCGAGAAACAAGGACGTGTAAATAACCTGGACCTAATGCCAAATCTTGGGGTAAAGACAACCGCGCTGGTTTTTTTTATTTGAAGCTAAAATCCTTTATCCTTAACTGTCAGCCTGTCGGTCTAAAATGATATCTCTTTTCCACATAATAAAAATGGGCCCGTTTGTGTACACAGTCTCTCTGTTTCGGTAGTAATGTCACGTACAAAGCACAATTTTTAGCAACTAATTATATGAATTGACCACCTGTTCTCTACAAAATATCATGCTAACGAGCACCACAATTTTTTTTATTATCATAAGAAATATCTTTTTATACAACCACAAAATAAAAGTGTAAAATATTTTAGTTAAGACTGAAGGAAACGGTAACTCGATAGAACTTAGTCAAGAGAACCAGGGGTGGCCGTGGTCGCCACAAAATTTCGGTTTTGAAAGAAATTGTCGTCTAAAACTGGGATTAATTTAATTGCAGCTAAGCTTCAAATCAAACGAAGTGGCATGAAATTAAAGGGAGAATACTCGTTCCTTCCCACAAGAGGTAAGGAAGAATTAGAACCATGAGGAAATCAGTAACTATTCTTTGAAAGCACTGGGAAAAGCAGCAATGATCTGGAACAAATATTTATTTAGTATACTTTATTAGGATCTGTAAGAAATTTATTAGCCAAAAGCAACAGTCCTTTTTTTTTGCTTGTCATTATTTATACTTTTAAGTTTATCTTGATTGCTTATACGTGACTGATTATATTTGACGGACACCAGCACGAGCTTTCAAATAACTAAAACTTATTTGCTCAAATTGGTTTTGTTTTCTTTCTCCAGAGAGGCTTTCAATGCCAGTAGGTCTTCTGGCAGGATATTACATGCCAGTAAGTAACTGCTTAGAATTGAAAGTTCCAGGGGTGTAGCTTAAAACTTTCCAGGGGTGCGTTTAGTTTTTTCAAATCAAACCTACGGTGACCTCATTTTCACGCGAGTGACGTGATTGAATTTCAGTTTTTTATTTTTATTTTTCGGGCAGCAGTTAGGGCCTTAATTCGCGAGTTACGAAATTGGGGACAAACACTTCATTTTGTTTTGAAAATTATCTAAAAGAAGTAAAGATGAGTGAAGGTGCGAGTGCCCCGCTTTTCCTTATTGATAATTTCTGCGTATCATTCCATTATCTGAGTCTTGAATCTGTTCTCGGGATTTCCCCACAAAACCCGTAACATTTGCAGCCGTGTTGATACTACTTTATACAATACAACACGTACGTGACCCTTGCACAGAGCTTTTAATGCCTGCGCTTCAACTAAAATTGCAAGTGGTTTTTGAAGTGATCACTTAGCTCATAAAGTGAAACGACTTTTTTTATGTAAAAAGACTAGTAAGCAGTTTCTCAGGGTAAAACTTCCACTGTTGGTCACAATTTTGTGTCCTTACCTCCATGTACAATTTTCTGTTCGAAAGTGAGTTGGGCATGATTGTGGTCGGCTGCGGCCATATTAAATCTTTCCATATTTCCTTCTCTGTCCATCAATGCCCGTCTTCTAAAACAGCATACATTAGGCAAAGCTTGTTTAAACTCAGGAACTCTTATTGCGTACACCACTGGATTGATAAAAGAGCTGGAAAGATACATAAAATAAGCTAGCAGCAAAATGTGGTCATGTATGTTGTATCCGAAGGAGCCTATTAAATTGCAAAGAGATATAGGGATCCACGAAATCAGAGTAAAAACAGATACATATAACAATGCTTTTGTTAAGCGTTGCTGTTGAAAGGCTCTATTTTGTTGATGAGAAGGAGTTTTCTGCTTAAACTTTNCTGTCCATCAATGCCCGTCTTCTAAAACAGCATACATTAGGCAAAGCTTGTTTAAACTCAGGAACTCTTATTGCGTACACCACTGGATTGATAAAAGAGCTGGAAAGATACATAAAATAAGCTAGCAGCAAAATGTGGTCATGTATGTTGTATCCGAAGGAGCCTATTAAATTGCAAAGAGATATAGGGATCCACGAAATCAGAGTAAAAACAGATACATATAACAATGCTTTTGTTAAGCGTTGCTGTTGAAAGGCTCTATTTTGTTGATGAGAAGGAGTTTTCTGCTTAAACTTTCTCCAGATACCGATGTTGAGGCCGCAGATAGTGAAGACTAGAAACAAGACGTATGAACACACGAAACTGTATAACCTCATTGGGCTCCAGAAAAGTAGGACATAAACCGTGGAAAACAGGATAGCCAACGTCCACACCATCAAAATAACAAGCCTGTATGCTCGCGTAGAAAGTGTTCGGTGCTTTAATGGCCAATAAATGGCGTAAAATCTCTCAGCAGATATCAAAGCAGCGGTAATAGACGAGGCCAGAGAGAAAAACGCGCAGATGATTTTGAGGAAAAAAGATCTTTCATATGATGACTGGTTTTCGGGATTCACCAGGAAAAAAATAAAAGAAGGGATATAGATACCTCCCAACATCAGATCAGCAAACGCCATATTCATAACAAGGTATAAACTTTTCTTTTTTCGAAGCTTCTTGTTAAATGCAAAGAGTGCAAGTGCGAGCAAATTCCCCATGACGATAGCCACAGCTTGCGCCGAAAAAGCAAAACTCCAAGCGATGATTTGTGCATTCGAAAAGATTTTCGCCCTTGATGAAAATGAAGAAGAAGAAGAGGTGCTAGCTGATACATTCGTCATTGCAAAGTTTACTGCAAACAGTCAGCTATCTTCAATAATATGTGAAGAAACAGGGCTCTGTAACGACCTTATTAAGTCAGCCCTAGGTGTTGCTGTCAATGCAATTGCTTGGTTTTTTTATTTGAAGCTAAAATCCATTATTGTTGACTGAATAGGCTTATTGATTGCATGAATAGCCTGAATGTCCGTTTTCTACATATTGAAAGATTTAACCTCCCTGATGCACGGTCCATTTGCTTAGTGGTGTCATCCGCAAAGCAGTTTTCGAAAACCAAACTAATAAGTCGCCACCTGTTCCATCTTGAGGGCAATGAAAGGCCAAACTGATTTTTCAACGCTGAGATTTAAAAGAACTGCAACTCCCTCCATGAATAGCGTCGTCGCGACAATTTTGATTCAAAGAAATTATCATCGAGGAAGGGGCTATAATTCCAGCCAAACCTTAATTAAGGAAACTCATACAGTTTAAACCGAAAAGGAAGTAGCGGTCCACTTGCACATGTTAAGAAGGAATCCATCAGGAAATTGAGTAATTTTAACTTTTAACAAAATCTTTGTACCAAAATAATTTTACAGCATCTTGCATTCTTTTTCACATTTTTGAAGGGTTATAGATGTAATTAGCTATCTGTAATAACACCAAACAAAATTTCTTATGGGAGCCCGAGAAAATAAATGTCAAATTTCTCGAAATGACATCTTACACATGAAGTTTTCAGAATTCTTTCTGTGTTTTCACATTTCAAGTGAAATGTGACATTTATTTTCTAAGGCTCCCGTGAAGAATTGTCCTTGGTGTTATGACAGAAAACTAATTATATCTTTTCCTCTTGAAAAGTGTAAAAAAGATTGAAGTATTATTTAAATTATTCTGGTGCAAGGTTTTTGTCAATTGAAAATTTAAATTACACAATTTCCTAATAGATTCCTTTTTAAAAGTGTGAATGGGGTTAACTAGGCCTAGATATAAATATCACGAAAAATCTCCTAAATATGTTTCCGGAAATTCCTGATTTTTTTCCGATTAAATATCTCGAAATGTTTTTCTAAATATTTCTAAAATATCTGGCTTCATTTTATAAACGTTACAGTAAAAACACAAAAAAATATCCTTTCATCTAAAATGGCAACACGAATTTCAGCAAATTTCAGGAAACCATATTCTTATACGGCATACAACAAAACTCTAAACAATTCCACATAAAGTCAGCCTTATTTGCAGTACCCCTCAGCCTGCAAGAAGACTAGGGCACTCTACTTTAATACAGGCAGAGTTCGTGAAAGACCATTAGGTCCTGGAGGTCTAAGGCGGTCTAAAAGGGACACTACTGCTGTTTGGTTTGTGCGTGGCTCAGAGGACGTTATCAGCCATTTTGTTGCACATCAGCCACATTGCATAATTATTATTATCATGGGGAATACTGCTGAATCTGATTACAACAGGCCCATGTGTCGAGATTTGTTTGAATTTCTGTCACTGAAATGCCCAAGCCCTAATTAGCATTGAAGTAGCTTCCAAGAAAAAACATGATTTCAGTACTTTTTTCGTAACAAGATTCTGAATATCAAAATTTTTTCCTAAATATCATGAGATTTTCTAAATATCTCAAAATCTTCTAAATATCTTTAGAAATATCCGGATATTTGTATCAAGGCCTAGGGTTAACCGACTAGCGACAAAGGGCGAAATTTATTACTGACTACCGCCAAAAAGGGAAAAAAAATTACCGACTACCGAAAGGAAAAAAAAAACCGACTACCGACATGGACCGACATTAAGTTTTTTCAGAAAGAAGAGCATATCTATCTTTCCAGGAAGTAACCAAAGATACCACCGACCCTGTAAATTTTATTGAAAAGACAAAGGTGAAAAACCGAACATCTCAAGTCTTCTTTTGATGGATGTCACACGTTTTTTTTACAACAATACGTCATATACCACATATCGAGGCACTGAAATAGTTTGCAGAGCGTAAGAACATTTCTACAAAGCAACCCACCTATTCCTACACATTCCCTGCGAGAACTGTACTTTGATTAACCCGCAAAGAAAATTCTTCCAGTTCAATGGAAAGCTCTACCTACAAACTCACGGTACCGCGATGGGCACTAACTAAGATAGCAGTTTCCTTTGCCAAAATGGGATACACAACCGCAGACTCGTACCCAGTCGCTATTTATGTGTTTTTGGGGTGAGAGAAGATTGGGGGTTAGGTTGAGGCGCGTGCAGGTTGTCATGGGTGTCGTCCCTTCCCAGGACACCCCGCACGCGCCTCATGCAACCTAACCCCCAATCTTCTCTCACCCCCAAAACACATAAATAGCGACTGGGTACGAATCTGAAACAACCGTTCATTTCTTGAATCTTCAAATAAGGGCGTAATGAGCGTTGGAAACATTTTGAATGAACAATAATGAGTCATCATGGCTTGATGACGTCAACAAGTTACAACATGAAATGGGGCCGTCCTCTTATCAAAAGTTCAAAATGGTCGGATACCCATTGCGAGATAAAGTAGACTATGCTGATCGGGGATTTAGGCCTTTCCGGAAAATGTCAGCACTGAAAAACTTTACCATTTTTAGTTTCCATGCTTTACTTATATGCAAATTTTCCTACATTATGTCATAGTCTATTGTTTCTTTAATTAGTTAATTGTTCTTCATTTAAATTTCTGTTGTTATCCATCGGTTAATTATTTCTCAAGATGTACATGTTGGAACAAACGAAACGTCAAGTTAAAGTTTTATTTCTTTCCAGAAATGCCTTTTTATCTTGTTACTTTTTTATGAAAGACAACATAACAAGCGTTCTCGCATTGCTCCCTAAGTACGCATGCTCAACACTTCTTCAACATGAACCACGCCAATAGCCCTTTGTCACGTGGCGGCCATTTTGTCTCAAGAGATTTAAAAAGGTTTATTTATGCCCGGCTAGCCTCAGAGAAAGAACGAGGCTAGCCGGGCATAAACAAAGCTTTTTAAATCTCTTGAGACAAAATGGCCGCCACGTGATAAAGGTCTAAGCAATCTCAAGACTGAACAAGCTAAGTGAATAAACGATTTACTATTTAGCCATAAAGAGAACTTTTTCTTGCGTCATTAAGGTAGGAAAACTTACTAACTAAAGGTAGCCAATCAGAACAAAGGATTCTCTTTATCTTGCCCGCTTGCGAATTCAGCCATGTACTGGTNCTGTTGTTATCCATCGGTTAATTATTTCTCAAGATGTACATGTTGGAACAAACGAAACGTCAAGTTAAAGTTTTATTTCTTTCCAGAAATGCCTTTTTATCTTGTTACTTTTTTATGAAAGACAACATAACAAGCGTTCTCGCATTGCTCCCTAAGTACGCATGCTCAACACTTCTTCAACATGAACCACGCCAATAGCCCTTTGTCACGTGGCGGCCATTTTGTCTCAAGAGATTTAAAAAGGTTTATTTATGCCCGGCTAGCCTCAGAGAAAGAACGAGGCTAGCCGGGCATAAACAAAGCTTTTTAAATCTCTTGAGACAAAATGGCCGCCACGTGATAAAGGTCTAAGCAATCTCAAGACTGAACAAGCTAAGTGAATAAACGATTTACTATTTAGCCATAAAGAGAACTTTTTCTTGCGTCATTAAGGTAGGAAAACTTACTAACTAAAGGTAGCCAATCAGAACAAAGGATTCTCTTTATCTTGCCCGCTTGCGAATTCAGCCATGTACTGGTGTTTATGACACTGTTATCCGCTGGTGGATAGCTCAGATAGCGCTATCCACCTTATTTGAAAAGCTGGGGATAGATCAAATTTTATTAAATTTCACGTCATCTTCCAAAGAAAGCTAGCTAAATGCCCAGATGCTATACGTAAGTCAGTTCAAATCGAAGAAAAGAAAAATTAGCGTGGCTGAACACAGTTTGATAGCCGGGACGTGGGTAGTAACCACTCAATACAATCGGCTGTTTGTTCAATCGCACTTTGTAATAAACTTGAAATGGATCGTCGGAGGACAAGGAACAACAACAACAACAACAACAACAACAACAATAATAATAATAATAATAACAATATTAATAGAAATAATAATAACAATAATAACAACTTATTCATTCCAATTTCATGGAAAAATTATCTTCAGACACTTTTTACAGATGGCCTATGTCACATAATGTGGTTTTCAATAGGGCACTGCATAAAAACTAAAAACTACAGTACTAAAAATGACAAAATATTGAAATAAATGAACTAAAAAATGTCAGCGAATAAGCGAACTTATTGAGATTTAAAATGTTTAAGTAAAGAGATTTTAAAAGCATTATAAGACATCTCATGGTCTTCTGGAAGGGAATTCCATTATGTCAATGCACTATGTGAAAGGATCTGAGTAGACCCCAGTTTGTGTTTGATCTAATAGATCTAATAGTTTCCTCGGAGCGGGTGTTATGGCTATGATAGTCTGAGCCTCGAGTAACTCATACTGTTTCTTCACTGTCATTAATAAAATTATGCATATAAAAACACCGTTGCATTAATCTTCTGGTTGATGGATTCATCCAGTTAAGATCTATAGAAGTGCTTGAGTTGATGGAGAATGCGTCGCTCGATCCAAAACTAGCTTGGCTGCTTTATTCTGAAAAACTTGAACAGAATCCATTAAAACTTTGTTATTTTTGTAACCCCATACGATACTTGCATATTCAAGAATAGGAATGACTATTAATTGTTGACACATAGATCCTTTTTGCATAAACTAGGAGAAGTTGCTTGATTCGTTTTAAGACAACTAAAAGTCTCTTTGCTATTTTACTATGTAGTTGTTCAATGTGGTCATGATGGCAAGAAAGATGCTGGTTTATGATCACTACAAGATACTTGAATTTGGTAACGTTCTCCAATTGATCATTGTTGGATACAAGAGCTGTGTCATTAAATTGAATTAGTTTGTTACGTCCTCCAATGACCATAAACTTCGACGTGTGCCACTTCCCATTTTCAAAGATTGAAGAAACAGTCGACTTTTTAGTACCCGGGAGTACCTGTTTTATTNGCATAAAAACTAAAAACTACAGTACTAAAAATGACAAAATATTGAAATAAATGAACTAAAAAATGTCAGCGAATAAGCGAACTTATTGAGATTTAAAATGTTTAAGTAAAGAGATTTTAAAAGCATTATAAGACATCTCATGGTCTTCTGGAAGGGAATTCCATTATGTCAATGCACTATGTGAAAGGATCTGAGTAGACCCCAGTTTGTGTTTGATCTAATAGATCTAATAGTTTCCTCGGAGCGGGTGTTATGGCTATGATAGTCTGAGCCTCGAGTAACTCATACTGTTTCTTCACTGTCATTAATAAAATTATGCATATAAAAACACCGTTGCATTAATCTTCTGGTTGATGGATTCATCCAGTTAAGATCTATAGAAGTGCTTGAGTTGATGGAGAATGCGTCGCTCGATCCAAAACTAGCTTGGCTGCTTTATTCTGAAAAACTTGAACAGAATCCATTAAAACTTTGTTATTTTTGTAACCCCATACGATACTTGCATATTCAAGAATAGGAATGACTATTAATTGTTGACACATAGATCCTTTTTGCATAAACTAGGAGAAGTTGCTTGATTCGTTTTAAGACAACTAAAAGTCTCTTTGCTATTTTACTATGTAGTTGTTCAATGTGGTCATGATGGCAAGAAAGATGCTGGTTTATGATCACTACAAGATACTTGAATTTGGTAACGTTCTCCAGTTGATCATTGTTGGATACAAGAGCTGTGTCATTAAATTGAATTAGTTTGTTACGTCCTCCAATGACCATAAACTTCGACGTGTGCCACTTCCCATTTTCAAAGATTGAAGAAACAGTCGACTTTTTAGTACCGGGGAGTACCTGTTTTATTGCGCGCCACATTTCACAGGAATCACCTCTGAAGAAAATTTTCAAAAAAAGACCAAAGGAATTTCAAAAGCACCTTAGAGAGAGAGAGGATATCCACAAAATTTATTAAATCTAACTCTCTCTCTCTCTCTCTCTGAAATACACTTTGAAAACAAGAAAAAGGCACTTCAACAAGAATCTTCAAGAGCGAAAAACATTTTGCCCTTTGTCACGGAAAACCAACAATCAGTTCCTAGTCTTAAAAGCATTTTCATGAAACACTGGCAACTGCTAGAGAACCAACTTCTTCTAAAACATATCTACAAAGAACCTCCAATTATATCGCACAAACGAGGAAAGTCTCTAAAGGATATACTCGTTCTGTAAAAGCTAAACTCTGAGAATTAAAAGCCATAAAAAGGTTGGTGGAAGTCGTGATGTCAGGCTTGTCAACCCTTTGTAATATTTCTCGTTCCCCGTGCTGCTGGTGAAACTTTCAAAATATCAACTTGCTTCTACAATCACCTTCCACCTGAAGAACACCTGACTTTTACGGACAAGCCGATAATACGGATGGCAGCTAAATTCCAATACAAAGTCCTATTATTACGAACTCTCACTGTTAGAAACACTATCTCATTGCGACATGGTCTCGAGGTCGTCCTCACAGGAAGAGTACGTTGTACTTCTCCACAAAGATTTTGAAGACGGAAGGCCACAGTTGATGTGAGCATGCTACTTTAAAAGCACAATCGATAAGGGCCTGCTGAAAACCGTTCAGCGAATTATTATTATTATCATCATCATCATCATCATCATTATTATTGTTGTTGTTGTTGTTGTTGTTCTTGATGATGATACTTATTACTGAGCTCACTTGTCCTCCGACCATCTATTTCAAGTTTATTACAAAGTGCGACAGTTTATTTCTATTACAAAGTGCGACGGTCTGTTATTACAAAGTGCGACAGCTCTAGATCTTTTATTACAAAGTGCGACAAGTGTTATTACAAAGTGCGAGAATCTTATTACAAAGTGCTACGATTATTACAAAGTGCAATAGAACACCATTTTTAAGGCTCGTTGCAGTTATGAAGTTCAAATTTAGCACGCAGAAAATATATTTATGAGACTTTACATTTAATAGGTTTCGTATGCCAACATAGATGATTGAAAGCAAACATTACATTTTCAATTTCAGTATTATGTTTACGTAAAATCCAGTCATTAAATTTTCTCAGTTATGAATTTACACCCAGCTTGCAACAATCAGTTTTTAACTTTTTTAAATGAATCAGTAGCTTTCATGTACTTGATTGTCTCTCAGATTCAGCCCAGGCGTTCTCTCTTTGCCTGTTGTCCGCGCGAAGTCTGGGAATTCGGTGACGTCACAGCTCATGATAGAGTCCAGCTTTGACCGAGTCGAGAACACATGGAGACCAGGCTGTTTCTGACTTCTTTTTCCAACTTTTAATTTGATCCTTCTTTGGCTTAATGATATTTCAACAAGATTTCTGCCAAATTTCGTCAAATTTGAATGACTATTTTAAGATATTGTCGTTTGTTTACATTGCCTAAAGAAATCAAAAAAAATGTCCCCAAAGAACGCATGCGCAATACTCGTACAAAAAGCGGAGGGAGGGGAGGGCAGGGCTCACCTGGCCCCGCCCCGTGCAGTTTTAAGTCTCAGTTTCTCGAACTTCCACCGCTAGTCACAATTTTGTATCTTCCATAACTTCCTGTTTGAAAGTGAGCTTTAAATTATTGTGATCGGCTGCCATATTATTTCTTCCTGCATTAATATTTCCCTGACTTCTAAAACAGAACAAATTTAAACCTTGCCTAAACTCAGGAATTCTAAATGCGTACACCATTGGATTGATAAAAGAACTGGAAGAATATATAAAATAAGTGAAAAGGAGAATGTTTAAAGATGTGTTTTGACCGAAAAATCTTAACAAATAAAAAATTATTGCGGGGACCCAAGAAATCAAGGTACCAACAGATACTAATGACAGGGCTTTCGTCAAACGCTGGATTTGCATGTGTCTGTTTTGGTAACAAGGAACAGATTTTTGCTGAATCTTTCTCCAAATGACGATGTTGAGGCCGCAAATAGTCACAATTAGTAACAAGCCGTATAAAGTAGAGAAAGCGAAAACAGCTCGCAGACTCAAGCGGAAAAGCAATATATAAACCGTAGAAAATAGGATAGCCAATGTCCAAGCCATCAAAATAACAAGCTTGTATTCTCGCATGGAAAGTGTTCGGTGCTTCAGCGGCCAGAAAACGGCGTAAAATCTTTCAGCAGATATCAAAGCAGCGGTAGTAAACGAGGCCATCGAGAAAACCGTTAAAATGATTTGAAGAAAAGTTGGAAATTCTGTAAAATACAACCTACTGCGAGTCGCCGTTACTAAATAAACAAATAAAGGGAGACTTGCACCTCCCCATACCAGATCAGCAAACGCCATATTCATAACAAGATATAAGCTTTTCTTATTTCGCAGCTTCTTCCTAAAGGTGAAGAGAACAATTGTGAGCAAGTTGCCCAGAAAAATACTGACAGCTTCTAACGCAAGAGCACAGCTCCAAGCGATGACTTGTGCCTCAGAAAGCATTTCGTCCACGGCTGAAAAGGAATTATTGAGTGACGAAGTTGAAGCTGACATATTCTTCGTTATTGTTCCTGCCATTGCCTTAATTTCTAGAAATGTTACTTTGAAGGTGTACGAGAAACAGCGGAGACGTTTATTTAAAACTGCTGGGCCACAAAACCAACCGTTGTTATAAGTCTTATAAATGCAATTGCGTTGGTTTTTCAGTCGAAACTAAAATTCTCTATTATTGACTGAGATTACACTATATTGATACTATTTACCATCTGTTTGCTAATAAATGTCACCACCCAGGGGGAACTCTTCTAAATTGGGGCTAGATAGGTATGTGCCGCCTGATAGGGGACTGTTTTTAGGGTCTCCACGCATCCTTAAATAGGGTATCTTTTTTGCCGTTGTTGGCGTTGTGTTCCCGGTATGATCCTTACTAGAAAGGCTGATGTTATTGTATCACCTAAAATTTACGTGCGTAAATTACACGAGAAACAAATCTGTTAAAACGGAACTTTCCTTATGAGTGTTTGGAAAACGATTTAAGGAAGATTTGTGCTTTGCCATTAAATTTTTAGTTTGTATTTCCCCTTGAGCTGGGTCTCATTTTTCAAGCTTTGGCCTTAAAAAGGGGAACAGTTTCCTTTGTCTTATTTCTAAATAAGGTCAGTGTTTAAGATCCTGGACGGCACACTGCTATTCCCCCCTCCCGCCCCCTCCTTTGGGTGTCACCGGCGAAGCGCAACACTCGGAGACCCGTTAGTTCACCACCTGCTCGGCCCTACAGAACGCTAACGATTACACTATACAACATCTTTTATAGAACTTTGTAGTGAAAAGGCCTGAATCCCGATAACATTACAGACTAAATAAGACAAAGAGCCAAAAATAAGAGAATTGAAAAAAAAATGATAGCTCTGTTTATGGTCAACTATTGATTTCCTCAGGAAATGTACCTATATTGAGTTGCAAACTAAGGACCTCGAAGGAAAATGCTATTAGTATATTTAAGATCTGTAAGCGGTTTAATCAGCCACAAGTAAGTATAAACTAATACCAGCCATGTTTGTTTCGGTTTGTGCCTTGTTTTTACAATAGTTTTATTTTGGCTGTTTGAATCTGCAACAGCCTCACGCTAGTGCACTGCTGTGGCCTGTTGAAAGTTCTAATACGTTGAACGAAACAGCTTCCTATGCCTGCTACCTTGTTCTGTTGAATTCTATTGTGTGTTACGTTATGATTATTGAATTTTCTTGCCAAGTAAGCTTATCTTGATTGTTTACACTCTTTATTGCTAAAACTGATTTCAAGTATTTGACGGACACCAGTACGAGCGTTCAAATAAGTTGTACTAAAACTAATTTCCCCAACTTTGTTTTGCTTCCTTTCTCCAAACAGGCTTTCAATGCCAGTAGGTCTACTGGCAGGATATTGCCAGTAACTAACTGCTTAGAATTGAAATTGCCAGGGGTGAAGCTAAACACTTTCCAGGGGTACGTTTAGTTGGTTTTCAAATCAACCCTACCTCATTTTCACACGACTGATTTGATTTAATTTCTTATTCAGTTTCGGGCAGCAGTCAGAGCCTTAATTTGCGCGTGGCGAAATTGGGGAGACACACTTCATTTTGCTTTGAAAATTATCTAAAAGAAGTTAACATAAGTAAAGGTGTTAGTGCCCTGCTTTTCTTTATTGGTAGCCTCGCTTATCATTCTATTATCTGAGTCTTGAATCTGTTCTCGGGATTTCCACACAAAACCTAACATTTGCAGCTGTGTTGATACTACTTTATACAATACAACGTGTACGTGACTCTTGCACAGAGCTTTTGGTGCTTGTGCTTCAACGGAAATCGCAAGCGGTTTGAAATGGTCACTTAGCTCATAGAGTAAACAGTTTCTGAGGGTAAAACTTCAACTGTTGGTCACAATTTTGAGTCTTGACCTCCATGTACAATTTTCTGTTCGAAAGTGAGTTGGGCATGACTTTGGTCGGCTGCGGCCATATGAAATCTTTCAATGCCCGTCTTCTAAAACAGCATACATTAGGCAAAGCTTGTTTAAACTCAGGAATTCTTATTGGGTACAACCACTGGATTGATAAACGAGCTGGAAAGATACATAAACAAAGTTAGCAGCAAAATGTGGACATGTATTTTGTATGCAAAGGAGCCTATTATTAAACTGTAAATAGATATTGGGATCCACGAAATCAAAGTAAAAACAGATACATATGACAATGCTTTTGTTAGGCGCTGCTGTTGAAAGGCTCTGTTTTTTTGATGAGAAGGAGTTTTCTGCTTAAACTTTCTCCAAATACCGATGTTGAGGACGCAGATAGTCAGGGCTAGAAATAAGACGTATAAACATAGGAAACTATATAACGCCATTGGGCTCCAGAAAAGTAGGACATAAACCGTGGAAAATAGGATAGCCATCGTCCACACAAGCAAAATAACAAGCCTGTATGCTCGCGTAGAAAGTGTTCGGTGCTTTAATGGCCAATAAATGGCATAAAATCTCTCAGCAGATATCAAAGCAGCGGTAATATATAGACGAAGCCAGTGAGAAAAACGCGAGGATGATTTTGAGGGAAAAAGATCTTTCATATGATGCCTGGTTTTCAGGAGTCACCAGGAAAAAAATAAAAGAAGGGAGATAGATAACTCCCAACATCAGATCAGCAAACGCCATATTCATAACAAGGTATAAACTTTTTTCGAAGCTTCTTGTTAAATGCAAAGAGTGCAATTGCGAGCATATTCCCCATGACGACAGCAACTGCAGCTTGCGCCGAAAAAGCAAAACTCCAAGCGATGATCTGAACATTCGAAAAGATTTTCGCCCTTGATGAAAATGAAGAAGAAGAGGTGCTAGCTGATACATTCGTCATTGCAAAGTTTACTGCAAACAGTCAGCTATCTTCAATAATATGTGAAGAAACAGAGTCCTGTAACCACCTTAATCCACTCAGCACCAGGTGTTGCTGTCAAGGCAATTACTTGTTGTTTTTTTTTTATTTGAAGCTAAAATCCATTATTGTTGACTGAATAAGCTTATTGATTGAATAGGCTGAATGTCCGTTTTCTACATATTGAAGGATTTAACCGCTCTGATGCACAGTCCATTTGCTTAGTGGTGTCATCCGCAAAGCAGTTTTCGAAAACCAAACTACCGTATTTATTCACTTATTAGGCGCACCATTTTTTACAAGAAAATATGCTTGTTTGATCAAAATCTGCTCAAAACTCGGGGTGCGTCTTATAACCGAGTATTTTCGCGCAACAAAATATAACTTTTCCAAATTTCCCAAATAAATAATGCTAAACTGAATAATGCTAATGCTAAACGGTATATAAGTCGCCACCTGTTCCATCTTGAGAGCAATAAAAGGCCAAACTGATTTTTCAACCCTGAGATATAAACGAACTACAACTCCCTCCATGAATAGCGTCTGTTCATGTGTTTTTGTGGTGAGAGAAGATTGGGGGTTAGGTTGAGGCGCGCGCGGGGTGTCATGGGTGTCGTCCCTTCCCATGACACCCCGCGCGCGCCTCAACCTAACTCCCAATCTTCTCTCACCCCAAAAACCCATAAATAGCGACTGGGTACGTACGAATCTGAAACAACCGTTCATTTGTTGAATCTTCAAATAGGGGCGTAATGAGCGTTGGAAACATTTTGAATGAACAATAATGACGTCATCATGGCTTGATAACATCAACAAGTTACAACATGAAATGGGATCGTCCTCTTGCCAAACTTTCGAAATGTACGGACACCCACTGCGAGATAAAGTAGACTATGCTGATTGGGGATTTAGGCCTTTCCGGAAAATGTCAGCACTGAAAAACTTTACCTTTTTTAGTTTCCATGCTTTATTTATATGCAAATTTTCCTACATTATGTCATAGTCTATTGTTTCTTTAATTAGTTAATTATTCTCCTTTTAAATTTCTGTTGTTATCCAACGGTTAATTACGGTTAATTATTTCTGAAGATGTACGTGTTGGAACAAACGAAACGTCAAGTTAAAGTTTTATTTCTTTCCAGAAATGCCTTTTTATCTTGTTACATTGTTTATGAAAGACAACATAACAATCGTTCTCGCATTGCTCCCTAAGTACGCATGCTCAACACTTCTTCAACATGAACCACGCCAATAGCCCTTTGTCACGTGGCGGCCATTTTGTCTCAAGAGATTTAAAAAGGTTTATTTATGCCCGGCTAGCCTTGGAGAGAGAACGAGGCTAGCCGGGCATAAACAAAGCTTTTTAAATCTCTTGAGACAAAATGGCTGCCACGTGACAAAGGTCTAAGCAATCTCAAGACCGAACAAGCTAAGTGAATAAACGATTTACTATTTAGCCATAAAGAGAACTTTTTCTTGCGGCATTAAGGTAGGAAAACTTACTAACTAAAGGTAGCCAATCAGAACAAAGGATTCTCTTTATCTTGCCCGCTTGCGGATTCAGCCATGTACTGGTATTTATGATACTGTTATCCTCTGGTGGATAGCTTAGATAGCGCTATCCACCTTATTTCAAAAGCTGGGGCTAGATCAAATTTTATTAAATTTCACGTCATCCTCCAAAGGAAGTTAGCTAAATACCCAGATGCTATATGTAAGTCAGTTCAAATCGAAGAAAAGGAAAATTGGCGTGGCTGAACACAGTTTGATAGCCGGGTCGTGGGTGGTAACCACTCAATACAATCGGCTGTTTGTTCAATCGCACTTTGTAATAAACTTGAAATGGATGGTCGAAGAGGAACAAAAACAACAACAACAATAATAATAATAATAATAATAATATTAATAGAAATAATAATAACAATAATAACAACTTATTCATTCCAATTTCATGGAAAAATTATCTTCAGACACTTTAAACAGATGGCCTTTGTCACATAATGTGGTTTTCAATAGGGCACTGCATAAAAACTAAAAACTACAGTACTAAAAATGACAAAATATTAAAATAAATGAACTAAAAAATGTCACACTAAGCGAACTCATTGAGATTTAAAATGTTTAAGTAATGATATTTTAAAAGCATTATAAGACATCTCATGGTCTTCTGGAAGGGAATTCCATTATGTCAATGCACTATGTAAGGATCTGAGTAGACCCCAGTTTGTGTTTGATCTAATAGATCTAATAGTTTCCTCGGAGCGGGTGTTATGGCTATGATAGTCTGAGCCTCGAGTAACTCATACTGTTTCTTTCACTGTCATTAATAAAATTATGCATATAAAAACACCGTTGCATTAATCTTCTGGTTGATAGATTCATCCAGTTAAGATCTAGAAGTGCTTGAGTTAAAAAAGAATGCGTCGCTCGATCCAGAACTAGCTTGGCTGCTTTATTCTGAAGAACTTGGATAGAATCCCTTAAAAACTTTGTTATTTTTGTCACTCCATACGATACTTGCATATTCAAAAATAGGAATGACCATTGTTGACACATAGATCCTTCTTGCATAAACTGGGAGAAATTGCGTGATTCGTTTTAAGACACCTTTAGTCTCTTTGCTATTTTACTTTGTAGTTGTTCAATGTGGTCATGGCAAGAAAGATGCTGGTTTATGATCATTCCAAGATACTTGAATTGGCAACGTTCTGCAATTGATCATTTTTGGCTACAATAGCTATGTCATTAAATTGACTTAGTTTGTTACGTCCTCCAATGACCATAAACTTCGACTTGGTAACGATTAGTGTCAGCTTATTGTCATGTAACCAAGATGTAATAGCTGCCAAGTCTGCATTGAGCGTTGATTGCAAATTGGTTAGCGAGTTCTCATGACAATAAAATACCATGTCATCAGTAACCAGCGTCATCTTCGAGTGCTGCAGTTCAGATTGAATGCCATTAATATACCTGTGGTACTCCCATGGTGATTTTTGCTGGGGGAGGGCAATGCGTTAACACACATCGTTTGTTGAATTGAACTCAACAAGAGAGATATGAGCGGAACCATTCCAAGCTTTTCCCTGCTACTCCCAGTGACTTGAGTTTGTTGACGAGGAGCAGATGATCAACGGTATCAAACGCCTTGCGAAGGTCTACGAACACTGTTCCCGTCACACATCCTTCGTCCATACTTTCTAGGACTTGACCTGTGAAGGCGATTAAGGCAGTGGAAGTTGAACGCTTTAGTCGGAAACCAAACTGTGATTGTGATAATAATCTGTTTTCTTCCAAAAAGGAACTTAACTGAATATGTGCTGATCTCTCTATGATCTTGCTTATAGTTGGTAAGACTCAAATCGGTCGATAATTATCCTTTAATGACTTATCTCCATCTTTAAATAATGCAGTGACTTTTGCACACTTCCAGACCCCTGGAAATACTCCATCAGTGAAAGATTTATTGATCAAACCAGTTAGAATTGGGGCGATGACGTCAGAAGCATCCTTCAACAAGCGAGCACTAAATTAGCTTATCAAGTCCAACAGCTTTGTTAGGTTTTAAGGATTTAAGGGCATTACGGACGAAGTTCACATTAACATTATCCAGGTGGAATTTAAAAGGAAGGGTGCTGGAAGTGAAAACAGGCGAAACGTTTTGAAATGGTTTTGCCAATACTTTCCCCACTGACACAAAGTACTGGTTCATGATCTTGGCGACAGAGAGTTTTTCGGTGTGCCACTTCCCATTTTTAAAGATTGAAGAAACAGTCGACTTTTTAGTACCAGGCAGTACCTGTTTTATTGCGCGCCACATTTCCCAGTAATCACCTTAAAATAAATTTTTCAAAAAAGACTAAAGGAATTTCAAAAGCACCATAGAAAGAGAGCATGTCCACAAAATTCTCTTTCTCTCTCTCTCTCTCTCTCTGAAATACACTTTGAAAACAAGAAAATGGCACTTCAACAAGAATCTTCAAGAGGGAAAAACATTTTGTCCTTTGTCATGCAAAATCAACCATCAATTCCTAGCCTTAAAAGCATTTTCATGAAACACTGGCAACTGATAGAGAACCAACTTCTTCTAAGACAGATCGACAAAGAACCTCCAATTATATCGCCCGAAGGAGGAAAGTCTCTAAAGGATATACTCGTTCTGTAAAAGCTTAACTCTGAGAATTAAAAGCCATAAACACGTTGGTCGAAGTCGTGATGTCAGGCTTGTCAACTCTTTGTAATATTCCTCGTTCTCCGTGCTACCGGTAAAACTTTCAAAATGTCTAACTTGCTTCTACAATCATCTTTCGCCTGAAGAACACCTTACTTTTACAGACAAGCCGATAATACGGATAGCTGCTAAATTCCAATACAAATTCCTATTATTACGAACTCTCACTGTTAGAAACACTATCTCATTGCGACATGGTCTCGAGGTCGTCCTCACAGGAAGAGCACGTTGTACTTGTGCACAAAGATTTTCAAGCCGGAAGGCCACAGTTGATGTCAGCATGCTACTTTAAAAGCACAATCGATAAGGGCCTGCTGAAAACCGTTCAGCGAATTATTATTATTATCATCATCATCATCATTATTATTGTTGTTGTTGTTGTTGTTGTTCTTGATGATGATACTTATTACTGAGCTCACTTGTCCTCCGACCATCTATTTCAAGTTTATTACAAAGTGCCACAGTTTATTTTTATTACAAAGTGCGATGGTCTGTTATTACAAAGTGCGACAGCTCTTTTATTACAAAGTGCGACAAGTGTTATTACAAAGTGCGATAGGTGTTACAAAGTGCGACAGGTATTACAAAGTGCTACGATTATTACAAAGTGCGACAGAACACTTTTTTTAAGGCTCGTTGCAGTTATGAAGTTCAAATTTAGCACGCACAAAATATGTTTATGAGACTTTACATTTAATAGGTTTCGTATGCCAACATAGATGATTGAAAGCAAACATTACATTTTCAATTTCAGTATTATGTTTACGTAAAATCCAGTCATTAAATTTTCTCAGTTATGAATTTACACCCAGCTTACAATCAGTGACTTAACCAAATGTAACAATCAGTTTTTAACTTTTTTAAGTGAATCAGTAGCTTTCATGTACTTGATTGTCTCTCAGATTCAGCCCAGGCGTTCTCTCTTGCCCTGTTGTCCGCGCGAAGTCTGGGAATTCGGTGACGTCACAGCTCATGGTAGAGTCCAGCTTTGACCGAGTCGAGAACACAGGGAGACCAGACTGTCTCTGATTTCTTTTTCCAACTTTTAATCTGATGCTTTCTTTGACTAAATGATATTTGAACAAGATTTCTGCCAAATTTTGTCAAATTTGAATGACTACTTTAAGATGTTGTCGTTTTTTTACATTGCCTATAGAAATCAACAAAGTTATCCCCAAAGAACGCATGCTCAACACTCGTACAAAAAGCGGAGGGAGTGGAGGGCAGGGCTCACCTGGCCCCGCCCCGTGCAGTTTTAAGTCTCAGTTTCTCGAACTTCCAACGCTAGTCACAATTTTGTATCTTCCATAACTTCCTGATTGAAAGTGAGCTTTAAATTATTGTGATCGGCTACCATATTATTTCTTCCTGTATTAATATTTTCCTGACTTCTAAAACAGAACAAATTCAAGCCTTGCCTAAACTCAGGAATTCTTAAGGTGTACACCATTGGATTGATAAAAGAACTAGAAAAATGTACAAAATAAATGGAAAGGAGAATGTTTAAAGATGCGTTTTGACCGAAAAATCTTAACAAATAAAAAATAATTGCGGGGATCCAAGAACTCAAGGTACCAACAGATACTAATGACAGGGCTTTCGTCAAACGCTGGATTTGCATGTGTCTGTTTTGGTAACAAGGAACAGATTTTTGCTGAATCTTTCTCCAAATAACGATGTTGAGGCCGCAAATAGTCACAATTAGTAACAAGCCGTATAAAGCAGCGAAAGCGAAAAAAGCTCGCGGACTCAGGCGGAAAAGCAATATATAAACCGTCGAAAATAAGATACCCAATGTCCAAGCCATCAAAATAACAAGCTTGTATTCTCGCGTGGAAAGTGTTCGGTGCTTCAGCGGCCAGAAAACGGCGTAAAATCTTTCAGCAGATATCAAAGCAGCGGTAGTAAACGAGGCCATCGAGGAAACCGTAAAAATGATTTGAAGAAAAGTTGGAAATTCTGTAAAATATAACCTACTACGAGTCGCAGTTACTAAATAAACAAATAAAGGGAGACTTGCACCTCCCAACACCAGATCAGCAAACGCCATATTCATAACAAGATATAAGCTTTTCTTATTTCGCAGCTTCTTGTTAAATATGAAGAGAACAATTGTTAGCAAGTTTCCCAGAAAAATAACGACAATTTCTGAGGCAAGAGCACAGCTCCAAGCGATGACTTGTGCCTCAGAAAGCATTTCGTCCATGGCTGAAAAGGAATTATTGAGTGACGAAGTTGAAGCTGACATATTCTTCGTTTTTGTTTCTGCCATTGCTTTAATTTCTAGAAATGTTACTTTGAAGGTGAACGAGAAACAGCGGACACGTTTATTTACAACTGCCGGGCCACAAAACCAGGCGTTGTTATAAATGCAATCGCGTTGGTTTTTCAGTCGAAACTAAAATTTATTACTTTTTACCATCTGTTTGCTAAGTAATGTCACCCCCCGAGGGATTCTTCCAAATTGGGGCTAGATAGGTATGTGCCGCCTGATAGGGGATTGTTTTTTAGGGTCTCCATGCATTCTTAAATAGAGTATCTTTTTTGCCCTAGCTCTCGTTGTGTTCCCGGTCTGATCCTTATTGGAAAGGCTAATGTTATTGTATTAGCTAAAATTTACCTGCGTAAAAAATTGCAAGAGAAATAAGGCATCTGTTAAAACGGAACTAAAGTTCTGAGTGTTAGGAAAACGATTTAAGGAAGATTTGTGCTTTTCCATTAAATTTGTAGTTTATATGTACGCTTGAATTGGGTCTCATTTACACCTGCTACCTTGTTCTGTTGAGTTCTATAGTGTGTTACGTTATGATTATTTAATTTTCTTGCCAATTAAGCTTATCTTGATTGCTTACACTCCTGATCGCTTATATGTACCTGATTTTATTTGACGGACACCAGTACAATTAGAGTTCAAATAAGTTGTACTAAAACTTATTTGCCCAACTTTTTTTTGTTTCCTTTCTCCAATGAAACAGGCTTTCAGGGCCAGTAGGTCTACTGGCAGGATATTGCCAGTAACTAACTGCTTAAAATTGAAAGTGCCAGGGATGAAGCTAAAAACTTTCCAGGAGTACGTTTAGTTTTTTCAAATCAACCCTATCTACCACATTTTAACGCGAGTGACTTGATTTAATTTTTTATTTTTCGGTCCGCAGTTAGGGTCTTAATTCGCTCGTGGAGAAATTGGGGAAAAACACTTCATTTTGTTTTGAAAATTATCTAAAAGAAGTTAAGATAAGTGAAGGTGCGAGTGCCCCGCTTTTCCATATTGGTTTTAACCTGTTTAAAACGCTATTGAAAAAGAATTTTTAAAGTATTTTTAAATTCGTTTAAAATATATAAAAAATTCCAGGGCTTTTGCAAGGCTCAAAACAGGTGTAAAACAGTTTTTAAATACCTTATAAATCGGAATAAAAACAGGATAAAAACAGTTTCAAAAACATTAGCTCATAGAGTAAACAGTTTCTCAGAGGGTGAATCCTCAACTATTGGTCACAATTTTGTGTCCTGACCTCCATGTACAATTTTCTGTTCGAAAGTGAGTTGGGCATGATTGTGGTCGGCTGCGGCCATATTAAGTCTTTCCAACTTTCCTTCGCTGTCCATCAATGCCCGTCTTCTAAAACAGCATACATTAGGCAAAGCTTGTTTAAACTCAGGAATTCTTATTGCGTACACCACTGGATTGATAAACGAGCTGGAAAGATACATAAACAAAGTTAGCAGCAAAATGTGGTCATGTATGTTGTATCCAAAGGAGCTTATTAAATTGTAAACAGATATTGGGATCCACGAAATCAAAGTAAAAAGAGATACATATAACAATGCATTTGTTAAGCGCTGTTGTTGAAAGGCTCTGTTTTGCTGATGAGAAGGAGTTTTCTGCTTAAACTTTCTCCAAATACCGATGTTGAGGCCGCAGATAGTGAAGACTAGAAACAAGACATATAAACACAGGAAACTGTACAACGCCATTGGGCTCCAGAAAAGTAGGACATAAATTGTGGAAAACAGGATAGCCATCGTCCACACCATCAAAACAGCAAGCCTGTATGCGCGCGTAGAAAGTGTTCGGTGCTTTAATGGCCAATAAATGGCGTAAAATCTCTCAGCAGATATCAAAGCAGCGGTAATAGACGAGGCCAGTGAGAACAACGCGAGGATGATTTTGAGGAAAAAAGCGGATCTTTCATGTGATGGCTGGTTTTCAGGAGTCACCAGGAAAAAAATAAAAGAAGGGAGAAAGATTCCTCCCAACATTAGATCAGCAAACGCCATATTCATAACAAGATATAAACTTTTCTTTTTTCGAAGCTTCTTGTTAAATGCAAAGAGTACAATTGCGAGCATATTCCCCATGACGACAGCAACAGCTTGCGCCGAAAAAGCAAAACTCCAAGCGATGGTTTGTGCATTCGAAAAGATTTCCGCCCTTGATGAAAATGAAGAAGAAGAGGTGCTAGCTGATACATTCGTCATTGCAAAGTTTGCTGCAAACAGTCACTTATCTTCAAGAATATGTCAGTGAAAAAACCGAGGCTCTGTAACGACCTTAATCCAGTCACCACCAAGTGTTTCTGTCAAGGCAGTTGCTAGTTTTTTTTTTATTATTTGACGGCTAAAATCCATTATTGTTGACTGAATAGGTTTTAAATGATGTCCCGTTTTCTACATAATGAAAGATTTAACCTCTCTGGTGCACAAACCATTTGCTTAGTGGTATCACCCGCAAAGCAGTTTTCGAAAACCGAACTGTATAAGTCGCCACCTGCTCAATTTGGAGAACATTTACATAAGTTAATTCACCAACTCAGGGAATGCTACGAGTATTTTTTTAAATTTGATATGTATAGCTTGAACACAAAAGCCTGAATTCGGCTAATATATTGCTGTGAGCTCAATAAAAGGCCAAACTAGTTTTTTGACTCTGAGATTTAAACGAAATACAACTCCCTCCATGACTGAAAATTATCTTCGAAGAAGGGACTATAATTCATGGCTAACCTTAAGGAAACTCATGCAGTTTAAACCTAAAGGAAGCAGCGGGACACTTTTACATGTTAAGTGCTCCCTAAGTTTTGAAGAATAGAAGAAAAAATGTTCATTTCCAGAACGAAATATAAAGTTAAAAGTGAATGATACAAATACGCTGAAGTAACAATGAAATCTCGGCAGAGTTCTGTCCCTAAAATGTCATTTTATTTGTCAGTATACTTAGACTATTAGGGATCAGTAATCAGCCAGAATATCTAAAATGAATATAAAGCGTTTTTACTTGATATTTTTTACATACTGCGGGATACATATTTTATTAGGTAAGATCGTGAAGAT